AAGATTGGCATCATAACCAACATCAATTTATGAGTTATCAAGATGTTAATATTAATACTAGTAGTGCACATGAGTTATTTCCACAACAGAATGATGTAGATCCAACTGATGCCTTGAAGATTCAGGATCAACATCAATTTATGAATCATCAAGGTGGTCATATTGATATATGTAGTTTAGATTAGATGAGTTATTTGCACAATGAAGTGCATTCATTCAGGATCAACCTTATGATCAACATCAGTTGATGAGTCATCAAGGTGTAAATATTAATACAAGTAATGTACATGAATTATTTTCACAACAGAATGATATAGAGCCAACGGATGCCTTGATGATTCAGGATCAACGTTATGATAAACATCAGCTTATGAGTCATTAAGGTGTTAATAATGACACAAATGGTGGAGATAGGTGGTTTCCACAACAAAGTGTTGTACAAACAAGTTATTTCTCGATGACTCAAGATAGTGCACATGAGTTTTTTCCACAACAAAATGATATAGAGCCAACGGATGCCTTGATGATTCAGGATCAGCATCATGATCAAGATCAATTTATGAGTCATCAAGGTGTTAATACTGATAGATATAGTGGAGATGATAATTTCTTCTCAGAATGGAGTATAGAAGAGATAACAGAATTCTTTGATATTTGACGGAGCTCGACCAGAATTTCATGTAGATCAAATGCGACATGATTTTATGGGAAGACATACATATCCAACAAAATGAAACTAGTTATGGGAAGGCACATCCAATAAGATTTTTTTAGAACAAACCCTCTATCATTTAAAATATTACCATTTTGTAATGATCAAATTCAAGTATTATTGTCACGTTAAGGGACCAATTTAGCACATAAGTGAAAAGCATCATTGTATAATAAAGGTAAACAGTGAATACAAAATTATTTCTAAATATAATATCCAGATTTTACTTATCCTTCATTGCTTTAAAACTTAGTGATCATCATCAGTAGTTTTAAGCTATTAGTGGCACAAACAGTGGCGTGACACTAGTAGTGAAAAAATCACTATGTCTATTATAGTATTTATACCTCATATATATTCACATATAGATTAACTAGAATTAAGCACAATTAAATATTGATTCTCATACTTGGTGAGTAGTATGCTAGTATTTCATTTATCTTTTTCACATCTTGAAACGAAGCACAAAAGGCGAGCACCATTTAACGCATATATATAAGCACATAGGTATGTACAATACAACTATATCCCTACCTTTGTCAATTTTCTGTTGAATGCCTCTCAAAGTGAGAGAGTCTTTTCATTATATAGAGAAAATAAAGATTACGTATCCCTAAAGATCCGCCATCCTATCCCAAAAGATCAGCTATTCTATCTCTACAAATCTGCTATTCAATCCCTCTAAATCTGCCTTGCTATCCCTCCAAATCAGTTATTCTATCACAATATTTATTCTTTTGATTCTACAACAAATGTATATGATCATGCTAATATATTTACAGTATTATATACAATCATTTAGTTTTCCATCATGCTAACATCCCCCCTCAAATTGATACTGGTGGATCAAGAAGCATCAATTTGCCTAGAAGAAACCGATGGCGTTGCCGTGCCATGGATTTTGTAAATGCATCAGCTATTTCAAGATCATTGGACACATGTGGAAGAGTAATGATTCCTTTATCTATAGCTTCTCGTATATAATGGCAATCCACTTCGATGTGCTTGGTCCCCTCATAAAAATTGGATTAGTAGCAATCTGGATAGCACTTGTGTTGTCAGCGTGGAGAGGAGTAGGATGAGATTGAGGAACTTCAATCTCAGCAAGTAATCCACAAAGCCATACAACCTCAGAGCAAGCAGTAGACATGGATCGATATTCAGCCTCTGTTGAAGATTTTGACACACGATCTTGCTTTTAACTCTTCCAAGATATCAATGACTCTACAAGAAACATGCACCAACCATATACTGAGAGTATCAGGACATCCCGCCCAATCAGAATCACTAAAAGCATTAACACGAATAGGAGAACCACTTGGAAAGAACAATCCACGAGTAGATGTTCCTAGAAGATACCGAATGATGCGGCGAACAGCCACCAAGTGGAGATGACGGGGAGCTTGCATAAATTGACTAACTTGTTTAACTGCAAAAGAGATATCAGGCCGAGTAATAGTAAGGTAATTTAGACTCACACCTAATTGTCAAAATATAGTTGGATCAGGAAGAAGATCGCCTTCCTCACGACCATACTTCATATTCAATTCCAATGGAGTATCTACGAAGGAGGAATCATGAAGACCGGCCAAAGAAATCAGATCCTGAGTATATTTGTGTTGGTTTAGAAACACATTTGAAGCAACATAATGAACTTCCAAACCCAAAAAATAAGTAAGAGTACCAAGATCTTTCATATGAAAAGAATCTTTAAGCTGCTATTGGAGGCTAGTGATTAGTGAAGAATCAGTTCCTGTGATAATAATGTCATCTACATACACCAAAAGAAGACCACAACCTGTAGATGTTTTCTGAAGAAACAAAGATGAGTCATATTTGCTCTGCTCAAAAGAAAATTATAGCAAAGTAGACCGGGACTTATCAAACGAAGCTCTTGGAGCTTGTTTTAATCCATATAACGACCGCTTCAACTTGCATACATCTGATGTAGGCGATGAAAACAAACCAGGTGGAGGTTTCATATAAATCTCTTCTTTAAGATCACTATGGAGAAAAACATTTTTGACATCCATTTGATAAAGAGACCAGTTTTGTTAAGCAATAATAGTTCGCACCTTAATCATTTTAGCTACGGGTGCAAAAGTCTCATCATAGTCCACCCCATACTCTTGTCTGTTACTAAGAACAACCAATTGAGCTCTGTACCGATCAAGAGTTCCATAAGAATGAAGTTTGATTGAATAAACCCATTTACATCCAATAGGGCATACATTTGAAGGACATGAATGTCCCATGTGTCATTTTCTTTAAAAGCCAAAATTTCTTCCTCCATTGCTTTCTGCCAACATTCATGCTTGGAAGCTTATGAGTAACAAGATGGAACAAATATGTTGGATAAGTAGAGGAAAATCCATACCGATTGGGAGTACGAGATACTTTGGTAGATCGCTGAGTAGGCTCAAGAGGACCAGATCTTGAAGAATTCTCAAATTCTAGTTGTGGTACAGTTTCAGGCGGCGGATCAATGTCGGGATAGGATAAAGCTGGCTGACGTCGTTCATACACAAATCCAGGTTTGAACCTCTTAAAAGAAGATGATAAATCCTCAAAAGTAGGAAGAAGAGGAGAAACAAAAGATGAATCTACAATCATAGGAAAGAAATACTGATTCTCAAAGAAACAACATTTCTAGAAATACGAAATTTGTGAGAACATGGATCATAGCAAATAAAACTTTTTTGTGAAGTCCTATAACCCATAAAAGCACATTTAGTAGACTGTACATAAAGTTTATTGCATTGCGAAAGAGGCAAATGCACAAAAGAAACACAACCAAATGTATGAAAATCACTATAGTTAGGATTTTGGTGATAAAGACAAAATATGGAGACTCAAGATTTAGCACTTTTGATGGCAATATTTTAATTAAATAGACAACAGTAGACAAAGCTTCCACCCAATATTTAGATGGTACAGATGACTCAATCAATAAAGTACGAGTGACATATAAAAGATGGCGATTTTTTCATTCAGTAACTCCATTTTGTTGTGGTGTATATGGGTAAGAGTGTTGTGAGACAATTCCTTTGTCAAGCAAGAATTTTTTGAATTCATAAGACATATATTCTCCACCATAATCAGATCTTAATAATTTGATGTATGTAGAAAATTGAGTCTCAATTAAGCCAAAAATGTCTTGAACATGGAAAAGACCTCAGATTTGGATCGAAGAAAATACACCCATGTAAACCGACTATAATCATTTATGAATGTCACAAAGTATTTGAAATGAGCATGAGAAATAATTGGTGAAATTCCCCAAACATCACTATGAATGACATCAAAACACTTTGTAGCACGACTACCAAAATTAGGAAAAGAAAGAGTTTTACATTTGCCTAATTTACAAGTAGAACAATCAATGGAAGCAATTGAAAATTGATTTTTATTTCCCAATAAACCAGAATTTGATAAATGAGACAACACAACAGAATTTGGATGTCCCAGACGCTTATGCCAAAACTCAGTCTTACTAGCAGTAGAAGTACAAGCAAAGATAGAATGGAAGGAATGGAAAACTGTATAGGAAATAATCATCCAACTTTAGGCCCCTTCGTGATTATTGTTCCCAACACCTAATCCTGCACAAGACAACCATTACGAGAAAAAATCACATCACAATTGTTATCTACCAATTGTCCAACTGAAATAAGACTAGTTGAGAGCTTTGGTGAAACAAAAACATTCTTGAAAGTTGGAGTAATGTCCCCAACCTTGGTAATGGGTAAATTACTACCATTGGCAATATGTATTTGTGATGGACCTTGATACTTACGAACAATTTTTAGGATGCTCATTGAGTTGGTCATATGATTGGAAGCACCTGAATCAGTAATCCAAAAATTAGATGTAACATCATTACCTTGTAATCCCAATGCTGAAAAGGCTGACACGATTATTTGTTGTACCATTTCAGGAGTAAGAACTTGTCCTGAAGATAAGTTATCATTAGTGGAACCATTTATCCCAGCTTGAAAAGCATTGATCCTACGATTTTGATGGTGTGTGGGACACTCTTTGATAATATGTCCTTGTTGTTTACAGTAATTACAAAACTTCTTGCTATAATTGCTAGCAATATGACCATATTCCTTGCAACTGTAGCATTGAGTTCTACTCATATCCTTGCCCTTTCCTTTACCTTGAGCAGCAAATGCAATAGTGACATCATTTTCTTTCTTGAAAGCATTTTGTGTGAGAAGACGTTGCTCTTCACGAAGTAATTCCCTAAAGCAAACATCCAAAGAGGGAGATGGGTCATAATTCATCAAGTTAGAGCAAACACTTGCTCAAAGTTGGAGCGTAATTTCATCAAAAATTGGTCTCGCTTGCTTTGTTCATGAACTGCCTGAATCAGAGATAGAGATTCAGTAGGTATTTTAGCATAGACAATATCCGTAAATTCAGCCCATAAGTTCTGAAATCCAGAAAAATAATCATGAATAGAAAGACCTCCTTGAGAGTAATTAGCAATTTCATACTCTAACTGAAAGCGTCTTGCGCTATTATCTTGGTTGTAAACCTTTTGTAAGTAATCCCACATAGCCTTAGCTGTCTTGTATGGCCTGAGATTAAGAACAATAAGAGGGTCAATTGACCCTAGAATCCATGTCATCACCTGAGCATCTTTAATCTTCCATTCACCTAGCTTTGTTGCATCAGTAGGAGCAGGATCACTTCCATCTATATGGCCCCATAGTTCTTTGCCGGTGACGAACAACTAAAATTGAAACTCCCAAGAAGAATAATTTTTTCCAGTAAAACGAACACCAAAGGGTTCAAAGTGATGTGAATTCATGCTTTTGAATATCTATGAAAACTACAAAGACTCAAGAAAGCAACTAGAATGACCAAGAACAAAATTCCCAGGTGGTAGGACTGATTGTTGATGAACAGTCAACCAAAAACCAAGATTTTCAAAAAAGTTTTATAAGGAACCACAAATGACTCTATGAGACAAGACAGCCAAGAGAAGGCTCTAATACCATGTCAATTTTCTGCTGAATGCCTCTCAAAGTGGGAGAGTCTTTCCATTATATAGAGAAAATAAAGATTACACAACCCTAAAGATCCGCCATCCTATCCCTAAAGATCAACTATTCTATCTCTATAAAGCTGTTATTCAATCCCTCTAAATTTGCCTACTATCCCTCCAAATCAGCTATTCTATCACAATATTTATTCTTTTGATTCTACAACAAATGTATATGATCATGTTAATATAATTACATTAATATATACAATCATTTAGTTGTCCATCATGTTAACAACCTTGTGAAGGAAAGTTGAGTTTTTCTAATAGATAATTTATATGTTATCAAGGTGTGAATATTGATATAGGTGATGGAGATAAGTTGTTTACACAATGGAGTGTTGTAGAGCCAAGCGATTTCTTGATAATTAAGGATCAACATCAGTTTATGAGTCATCAAGGTGTTAATATTAATACATGTGGTGAATATAAATTTTAAGTGCATTTTCTATCTTCGTAAAGAAGAGTCCAAAGCATCAAAGTCGATAAAGTCCAGTACTAAATGTTTTTACCCACAACAAGGTTTTATACATAGGACCAACTGCTTTCTTTATCTTGCTTTCCCTTAGTCCGTCTAGGAATTATATTTCCTGTCGTCTTTGTACTTGTTATATTCCATTTGTGTTTGTAATGACTTTCATTTCTTCTTCCATTTATATTTTGACAGTACTTAAAAGGAATGTACTTAAAGAAGGAGATGTTACTTAATATTTCACTGTTATTATATATGCATCTTTGAGAATTATTCTAGAAAAAAAATACTCTAAAGATTTTCTTCCCCCTTAATATAAAACCTATTTTCTTCTCTCATAATGTATTTTTTCTTTATAAATTTATGGCCTAATTTGTAACAAATGGAGGTTCATCTTCATCAACATCAACTAACAAGTCATCAACAACGACACAATATATATACCCGATATATTCCCACAAGTAAAGTACATGGGTGGTGGTATGTATACATCCTTATACATACATTGTGAAGGAAGGCGGGGGGGGGGGGGTTAATTTCTGAAAGACAATTAATAAGTCTTCAAGGTTTGAATATTGATACAAATGGTGGAGATAAGTTGTTTGGACACTGGAGTTTTGTACAGTCAAGTGATTTCTTGATAATTCAGGATCATCCGTTTATGAGTCATCAAGATGGGAATATTGCTATTGCTGGTGGTGATTAATTAGTTATTTTCACAATGGAGTGTTGCACAACCAAGAAATTTCTTGATGTATGATTCATGACCAACATCAGTTTATGACTCATCAAGGTGTTAATACTGATACAAGTGGCGGAGATAAGTTGTTTCCACATCATAGTGCTTTAGAGCCATATGATTTCTTGATGATACAAGATTTTTCTTGTTCTTCATTCCTTTAGGAAAGAATTAGTGATAAATTATTAGAAGACTATGTTAGGTTTGACCTATTTAGCGACGAAGTTTGTAATTATTTTCAATTTATTTTAGTCTTTAAGCTAGATAATAAGCTTTATTAAGTTTTTTGTTCAAATATTCTCTTGAGTGTTTGTCAAGCCTTGCGACCCCACCCTAGACGCGACATGGCAATCGGAAACCCCATAAGTGCAAGAGTACCAACCAACCTACTTAATATAGATAATTCATATTAAATATCAATTTTAAATACCAATGTTGAAAGTAAGAACTATTCTAATCAACCTTCAAGAAAATTCAAAAGAGAAAAACCAATTCGATACTTCAATTAGAAAATCAAATCCAACTAACCATAGGTATACAAAACCTATACTAATAGAATAATAATATCTACACCGAGACATGCTTTAGGGCTTGTTTGAAGTTGAAAATGCGCCCGTTTTCCCATCGGGACAAACTGACGTCATTAATAAGGTCGTAAGAGAGGTCCATGAAAAATTTTGGCAAAAAAATTCTGGAATCTTGTATCACTAAAAATCCATGGACTATAGCACACGAAAATTGGTAAAATATGGTTTCTCCTGCTTTGGGGCTCATTTGATTTTGAAAATGCGCCCATTTGCCCGTCGTGACTAACAAACGCCATTAATAAGGTCGTAACAAACGTGCATGAAAAATTTCGGTAAAATAAATTCCTAAATCCTATCACCAAAAATCTATGGACTATAGCACACGAAAATCGGTAAATTTTGGTTTTTCCTACTTTGGACTCATTTGAACTTTAAAATGCGCCCGATTTCCCCTCGAGACCAACTGACGCCATTAATAAGGTTGTAACAGACGTCCATCAAAAACTTTGGCAAAAGATTATAGAAACCTGTATCACCAAAATTTCATGTACTATAGCACACGAAAATAGGTAAAATGTGGTTTTCCTGCTTTGGGGCTCAATTGAACTTGAAAATGTGCCCGTTTTCCTCTCAGGACCAACTGACGCCATTAATAAGGTTGTAACAAACATTCTTAAAAATAAAATCAAGAAACCTGTGTCACAAAAATTCATGGACTATAGCATACGAAAATAGGTAAAATCTGGTTTTTACTACTTTGGGCGTTTTAACTTGAAAATGCGCTTGTTTGCCCTGCAGGACCAATTGACGCCATTAATAAGGTCGTAACGGACGTCCATGAATAATTTTGGCAAATAAGTTCCAAAATCCTATCACCAAAAATACATGGACATATAGCACACAAAAATCGATAAAATATGATTTTTCCTGCTTTTGAGCTCGTTTGAACTTGAAAATGCTCATGTTTGCCCCTTGGGACGAATTGACACCATCAATAAGATTGTAATGGACGTCTATGAAAAATTTCGATAAAATCTTTTTGGAATCCTGTATCACCAAAATTCCATGTACTATAGCACACAAAAATTGGTAAAATCTATTTTTTCCTGCTTTGGGAACGTTTGAACTTGAAAATGCACCTAATTTGCCTTCGGAACCAACTGACGCCATTAATAAGGTCGTAAAGGATGTCCATGAAAAAATTCGGCAAAAAAAACTCTGGAATCCTATCACCAAAAATCCACGGACTATAGTACATGAAAATTGGTAAAATCTAGTTTTTCTTGCTTTGGGGATCGCTTGAACTTGAAAATGCATCCGTTTACCCCTTCGGGGACAACTGTCGCCACTTATAAGGTTGTAACAGACGTCCCTAATAAATTTCAGCAAAAAAATAATTCTTGAATCATGTATCACCAAAAATCCATGGACTATAGCATACGAAAATCGGTAAAATCTAGTTTTTCCTACTTAAGGGCTCGTTTGGACTTGAAAATGTGTCCATTTTCACCTCGGGACCAACTAGCGCCATTAAAAAGGTCGTAATGGACGTTTCTGAAAAATTTTGGCAAAAGAAATTCCAAAATCCTATCACCAAAATCTATGGACTATAACACATGAAAATCGGTAAAATACATTTTTGCCTGCTTTGGGGCTCGTTTGAACTTGAAAATGTATCTGTTTCCCCCTCGGGACCAATTGACGCCATTAATAAGGTTGTAACGGACGTCCATGAAAATGTTTTTTAAAAAAATCTATAGTCTTGTATCACCAAAAATCCATGGACTAAAGCACACAAAAATTGGTAAAATCTAGTTTTTTTTGCTTTGGGGCTCGTTTGAACTTGAAAATGTATCTGTTTCCCCCTCGGGACCAATTGACGCCATTAATAAGGTTGTAACGGACGTCCATGAAAATGTTTTTTAAAAAAATCTATAGTCTTGTATCACCAAAAATCCATGGACTAAAGCACACAAAAATTGGTAAAATCTAGTTTTTTTTGCTTTGGGGCTCGTTTCTAACTTGAAAATGCGTTTGTTTTCCCCTCGTGACCAACTTACACAATCAATAAGGTTGTAACAAATGTCCATGAAAACTTTCGGCAAAAACAAATTCCAGAATCGTATAACACCGAAAATCCATGGAGTAAGCACACGAAAATTGGTAAAATCTTGTATTTTCCTTCTTTGGGGATCGTTTGAACTTGAAAATGCTACAGTTTGCCACTTTAGACCAAATGACTCCATTAATAAGGTCGTAACGGACATCCAAGAAAACTTTTGGCAAAAAGAATTCTGGAATCCAGTATCACCTTAAATTCATGAACCATAGCACACGAAAATCGGTAAAATATGGTGTTTCCTGCTTTGGGGCTCGTTTGCACTTCAAAATGAGCATGTTTGCCCCTCGGACCAACTAATGCCATTAATAAGGTCATAACGGACATCCATGAAAAACTTTGGCAAAAAAAATTCCAAAATCCTATTTCACCAAAAATCCATGGAATAGCACACGAAAATTGGTAAAATCTTGTTTTCCTGCTTTGGGACTCGTTTGAAATCGAAAAGTCTTGTGTTTTCCCATCGAGACCAATTGACGCCAATAATAAGGTCGTCACGGATGTCCATGAAAAATTTCAGCAAATTTTTTTTTGGAATCCTTTATAACCAAAGATCCATGGACATAGCATACAAAAATGGGTAAAATCTAGTTTTTCCTGCTTTTGAGATCGTTTGGATCTGAAAATGAGTCTGTTTGCCCCTCGGGACCAACTGACGCCATTAATAAAGTCGCAACGGACGTCCATGAAAAATTTTGGCAAAAAAAAATTCCAAAATCCTATCACAAAAAATCCATGGACAATAGCACATGAAAATCGATAAAATCTTGTTTTTCTGTTTTAGTGCTTGTTTGAACTTGAAAATGTGTCTGTTATCCCTCGAGACCAAATGACGCCATTCATAAGATCGTAACGGACGTCCGTGAAAAAGTTCAGCGAAAAAAATTCTGGTATACTGTATCACCAAAAATCAATGGACTATAGCACACGTAAATTGATCAAATCTACTTTTTCCTGCTTTGAGGCTCGTTTGAACTTGAAAGTTTGCCAAAATTCCCCTAGGGACCAACTAATTCCATTAATAAGATTGTAATGGACGCCCCTAAAAAATTTCGGCAAAAAATAAATCTAGAATCCTATCACCAAAAATCCATGGACTATGACATATGAAAATTGATAAAATTTGGTTTTTCCAGCTTTGGGGATCGTTTGAACTTAAAAATGCACCCCTTTGCCCTTTGAGACCAACTGACACCATTAATGAGGTCGTAACAGAAGTCCATGAATAATTTCGGCAAAAAACGTTCTAGAATCTTTTATCACCAAAAATTCATGGACTATAGCACCCGAAAAATAGTAAAATCTGGTTTTTCCTTCTTTGAGACTCGTTTGAACTTGAAAATACGCTCGTTATCCCTTCGGGACCAACTGACGCCATTAATAAGGTCATAATGGACATCCATGAAAATTTTTGGCAAAACGATTTCCGGAATCCTATCACCAAAAATTCATGGACTATAGAACACACGAATATCGATAAAATCTACTTTTACTGCTTTGGAGCTCGTTTGAACTTGAAAATGCGCTTGTTTTCCCCTCGCGACAACGTGATGCCATTATTATGGTCGTAACATACGTCCATGAAATATTTTGGCAAAAAAAATTCCAAATTTTTATCACCAAACGTCCATGGACTATACCACACGAAAATTGGTAAACACTGTTTTTTCCTGCTTAAGGGCTCATTTGAACTTAAAATGCGCCCATTTTCCACTCGAGACCAACAAACACCAACAATAAGGTAGTAATAGATGTTCATTAAAATGTGCCTGTTTATCCTCTAGGACCAACTAACGCCATTAATAAGGTTGTAACGGATGTCCATGAAATTTTTTGGCAAAAACAATTTTGGAATCCTATATCACCAAAAATCCAAAGACTATACCATATCAATAAAATCTTGTTTTCCTGCTTTAGGGTTCGTTTGAACTTGAAAATGCACATGTTTGTCCCTCGGAACCAGCTGACGCCATTAATAAAGTCGTAACGGATGCCCATGAAAAATTTCAGCGAAATTTTTTTTGGAATCCTATCATGAAAAATCCATGGACTATAGCACACAAAAATCGGTAAAATCTGGTTTTTCCTGCTTTAGGGTTCGTTTGAACTTGAAAATGCACATGTTTGTCCCTCGGAACCAGCTGACGCCATTAATAAAGTCGTAACGGATGCCCATGAAAAATTTCAGCGAAATTTTTTTTGGAATCCTATCATGAAAAATCCATGGACTATAGCACACAAAAATCGGTAAAATCTGGTTTTTCCTGCTTTAGGGCTCTTTTGAACATGAAAATGTGCCCGTTTGTCCTTCGGGACCAACTGACACCATTAATAAGATTGTAACAGACGTTCATGAAAAATTTTGGTAAAAAAAATATATGTAATCCTATCATCGAAAATCCATGGATTATAACACACAAAAATTGGTAAGTCTAGTTTTTCCTGCTTTGGAGCACATTTGAACTTGAAAAAGCACCTGTTTGCCTCTCGAGACCAATTGACGCCATTAATAAGGTCGTAACTAACGTTCATAAAAAATTTCAACAAATTTTTTTAATAAAATCTTGTATCACCAAAATCCATGGACTATAACACACGAAAATTGATAAAATCTACTTTTTCCTACTGTGGGGCTCGTTTGAACTTGAAAATGTGTCTGTTTACCCCTCGGGACCAACTAACGCCATTAATAAGGTTGTAATGGACATCCATGAAAAGTTTTGCAAAACAAATTCTGAATCACCAAAAATCCATGGACTATTTTTCCTGCTTTGAGCTCGTTAAAATTTTAAAATGTGTCTGTTTGCCCTCCAGGACCAACTGATGCCATTAATAAGGTTGTAACGAATGTACATGAAAAAATTTGGCAAATTTTTTTTTGGAATCCTGTATCACAAAATATCCATGAACTATAGCACACGAAAATGAGTAAAATCTTGTTTTTCCTCCTTTAGGGGTCGTTTGAACTTGAAATTGTGCCTGTTTGCCACCCTGGACAACCTAACACCTTTTATTAGGTTGTAACAGACGTCCAAGAAAAATTTCAGTAAAAGAAATTCTGGAATCTTGTATCAACAAAAATCTATGGACTATAACACACGAAAATCGGTAAAATCTAGTTTTTCCTGCTTTGTGGCTCGTTTGAACTTGAAAATGCGCCTGTTTGACCCTCATGACCAACTGACGCTATTAATAATGTTGTAACAGACGTCCATGAAAATTTTTGGGGAAAAAAAATTCTGCAATACATATCACTAAAAATCCATGAACTATCACACGAAAATCTGTAAAATCTTGTTTTAATTGCTTTTGGCTCGTTTGACTTGAAAATGCGTCTGTTTCCCGTCATGGACCAACTGACACCATTAATAAGGTTGCAACGGACGTCCATGAAAAATTTTGGCAAAAAAAATTCTGGAATCTTGGATCACCATATATCCACGGACTATATCACTTGAAAATTGGTAAAATATGATTTTTCCTATATTGGGGCTCATTTAAACTTGAAAATGCGTCTGTTTTCCACTCTGG